GAACCCCCCACCCCTCCCGATAATTATTGCATAGTCCCTTAAGGGATATCTGATCTCATGAATTTAGGAAAAAGGGTCTTGTTTTTCATTTTACTTCTTAAAAATTCAAACAAAAAGGGTATGAAAGAAACGCCCACGGATTAGAAATATAGTGCATTCTTTTTATCTGATACTTGATGCAGAAAAAAAGAAAGAATTAAAGAAAAGAGGAAAGCGCAACTTCAAATTACGAATATTCTCCGCCTTAATTCTTTCGAGTTATCTTTTTCCGCAGGATCGATTTTCTGTTTTTCCTCCCTCCACAAAATTGAATTCATCACTATCCTAAATTTCAAAGCACCTAAGCTCTTGAAGGATTTGAATGGGGTCAGAGTTATTTCAGCCGGTTTAGTCCGATAATTACAACTGACGTAAAATAAAACAAGAAACAAGAAAGAAGATATAAACGAATGAGTGAGTGACACATTTGCATATTCAGACCCCTCACAATAACTCGTTTCTACGCATCGCGTATCCACGAGTTAAAAAGGGGGGGGGGGGGGGGGGGACAAGAAAAAAGGTAGAAAGAAAGAAAGAAGAAAGAAAAAAGAAAACAAACAAAACAGGTCAACAAAGAGGGAAAACAAGAAAAGAAACGAATGAATTACAGGTGATTAAGGAAATTGCCTTTTTCATGTTGTTAAGGTGTAATTTTTTATTTTTATTTATTTATATATATTTTTTTAATATTCGAAAATCTTTAATATATTCTTGTCTTTGGGGTTTTTCCTTTAATCGTCATGCACATTACCCAGCCAATAACTTATTGGGCCGTCATAAATAAATATATTTATGTAGTTTCAACGAAGACCTCCCTAGCTGCAGAAGGAAGGATCCACAGTGGCTACCAGATACTTTCTAGCTTGAATAGGAAGTGAAGTTAGACCAAAAACTTCTAGCCGTCCGTAGATAGAAATTCTTTATTAGAAAAATAAAATACAAAGATTTTTAAAAGAAAATCCACCCAAAATAATTGGGCTTCCTGTGCTTGCATTATCTACCACAGGAAGCCCATCTCGAGCTGAAGTCATTCGAACCAAACAAAGATGGCGGACGAGTTAGAGTGGATTTGAACAACAATATCTGGTCTGAAGCTTGCTCTCCTGGATAAACATGCATCCCCTACTAGCACCACATCTTCATAATAAATGTCTGGAACTTATTGAAATGTTAAACAAGTGCCACGATGAGGTAATTGTGTAAAACATCTTTGAAAAACGATCAACATTATGCAACAAGCTTGCTGTCCATAACAATTTAATATTCTTTTTTTTTWAATTTTTTTATTTTTTTATTTTTTTATTTTTTTGGTGGCTTGTCTTTTATTCCTTACTTTATTTAATTGATTTGAACTATGTATTGTTATTTTGCTGATTGTTTTATTCTTGAATTCTAATGCAAAGCCGAGCCCGTGAAACTCAACAAACTCTGCTCGATGAGTGCAATATGGGAAGGGTGGTGGTGGGGGAAGGGCGGGGGAGAGGATCAAGGTAAAAGCATTGGTCATGTTCACTGTATCTCTTAGGAGTGAAAATAAGCAATGTTGTATCTTTTTATAGGGTAAAATAATCGATGGTTTTCACAGCCATCATGTTGAATGAATTTAACAAAAGATTCGTCATTTGTCTCTTTTGTTATATCACATGTCTTTTGTTATTTCATTCTCTTGAGAATGATTGTAAACCAGGGGGTTGAGAATCAGGGTGAAGAAGACCCGATACTCTTGATTCTCTTGGTATTAAACTAATTAGTTTAAGTATATTATTAGGTTATAATAGACGACTTGCACTAACAGGTCATGTGACCCTTCCTCTCTTAAGACAAGCAGTTTTGTCAAAGTAAAAAACAGAAATGAAATGAGCATCTCGGCATTAGTAGGGAGGTGGAGTTTCAGCTCATAATAAGCTAAACAGAAGAAGTGGCATTAGATATAAGATTGAATGTTTTATAAAGATTTTTATCGAAAAATGTGCTGGACGGCAAAAGCTTACCAGCCAACACTTTCCCCATACAAATCCTTGTAAAATATTTGATTTTATATTTAATGTCATCTCTCCTATAGTCAACATTATGAGCTGAAACTTTGCCCTCTTTCGAAATTTGAGGCACTCTTTATTTCTGGAGTTCATTTTGACTCATTTGCTCGTTTAAAGGGGGATGGGGTCACATGACCTGTTAGTACAAGTCATCTATTCCTATAGTTTTATATTTTAGAGCTTTGAATTTCACTTCAGTAATAGCAAAAATGGGACGCAAGTGAAGATTCTGTTTCTGTTTTTTGTAAACTAAAGTAAATAATTATATTTTCTGCTTATTTAAATACAATAGCACAGGTTTGGAAAGTTCCTGGGAAAATGCAATGACATTGAACGCAACCTACAGCGTTGTCTAAAAGCAGAGGTATGAAGTTGGAAGTCATTCAAAACAGTCGTTTTGACACTATACACCTGTTATTTATGTTTGTATTGCTTAGTGACTATTTTCTTTTTTATTCCATAATAAAAATCAATCTAAACATCGCTGACAGCCATGTTGGATAGCAGAACAATAGAATCCCTTTACTCTAGAGAATTGAATTATTTCTCATTTAAAATGATTGATTAGATGGTGCATACCATCCAACATGAAAAAAGTGTCCTTGTTATTATGAGGGTAGCACTTGATAGGCAGTAGCTATTGTTCTCTCCTATGCTACAAGGGTTTTCTCCGGGTTCTTCGGTTTCCTCCCTCCGTAAAAATCAACATGTGAGTTGAGCGTTGTGTGCATAGAATATTGAATGTAGTGGTAGTGCGTGTGAGTGAAAAGTGTCCCCAATTAGTGCAAAAGCACTAGAATGACTAGACACTTAAATAAAGTGATTTATTTTCTTTTTTAACAAACCTGTGGCCCTCATTCCATGATTGAATTGGAATTTAGGAGTTGAATTTTGTGGAGGGAGGAAAACCAGTGAACCTGAAGGAAAACCCTTGAAGCAAAGGAGAGAATCAAACAAACAACTTTACTCACATAAAACACTGAGCCTGGTGAGACTCAAACCCAGGTTGCATTGATGAGGGGCAAGCACTCTTACAGCTACGCCACCCATGCTCCCAACATTGCTGTCCAAGGGCGGATCCAGCCAAAATTTTAGGAGGGGGGGCTAATTGAGTTTCTTCCATCAGCACATTGGAAAACAATATAAAAAACCTTCGTTTTTTTCTGCTGAAGGGGGGCTTCAGCCGCCCTTTGCCCCCCCTGGATCCGCCCTTGCTGTCATCAACATGTGATTGTGTGAAACCTCTATTAGGACTTTACCTATTTTGTTTTATTTTTCTTAGTCAAAAGAAAGACGACAAAGAAATATGGAAGAATCAAAGAAAAGGAAAGAGAAGTTCAGAAAATTTTGCTCGGAAACTTAACATTCTTTCAAATTTCTTATCTTCTCCTTAAGTATATTAAAACAAGGTCAACTGTGTTACCATGGAAACAAAATATGCAATCTGTAAATTTGAAAAGTGATTACCATATGGACTATATATCTCAACACCTTTTCTAAACTAATATTTGAGTGCATGCCATACACCATTATAAGCAAAACAAACAAACAAACAAACAAAAACAAAAATTTTAATAAAATGGTACAATTCGTAATAGATGTAACTTGGTGCAGGGCTTGTACGGGTTTTGGAAAGTCTTGGAAAGTTTTTGATAATGGAATTTTTCCAGGACTTTGAAAGTTCTAGAAAATGGATTTTTGGTCTACTGGGCTATGGAAAAGTTATGAATTTTGTGTAGCTTGTCTAGCTTATACCTTGGTAAGAATTGTTTTCGTTGTAAACAATGAAGTTTTTTTGTCAGCAGTAGTGTACGTGTGGTGTGCGTGAGTCATTGCCTGTTGCAGAACCTGCTGGCATTTTGGTCACCAGAGCGCAAGGGCGGATCCAGCCAAAATTTTAGGGGGGGCTAATTGAGTTTCTTCCATCAACACAACGGAGAACAATATAGAAAAGCATCGTTTTTTTTCTGCTGAAGGGGGGGGGGGTTTCAGCCACCCTTTGCCCCCCCCCCCTGGATCCGCCCTTGGAGCGATGTCATTTATGCTTCAGATCCATGAATTTGGCTTTATTTTTGTGCTGTGTGTGTGGTTTTGGAAATTTTAGTCAAAGGGCTTTGGAAAGTTTTGGAAATCCTCTCAGTGGATCCTGTACGAACCCTGTTGGTAACCATTTATTTCCAAGCCAATCAATCAACATATAGACGTCTTATGCCTAGGTGTAATGTTTTCCCATTTCAGACATGTTAGTCATTCCGCTTCGGTCGTGCACAAGAGGACATGAATATGAATACAACTCAAACAAAGATTTTTATTCTATAGTGAATAAACATTTGGTATGAATTTGGAAAACAGTATGCCCAAAGAGGTTTATAATAATTGTTTATCATATGATTATCCATAAAATACCCATATTTCTCCTCGAAAAACTGATATTTTCACGTGAAAATAACGTTACCGTGTGTATTTAAGCTATTAGTTTATAAATAAAAACTTTTTATAATCATAAAAAGCTTGTTAAGTTGATTTTATTGATAATTATATAATAAACAGAATATTACATGGGCGCTTGGAGATACGAAATTTATCTTCTCGTGTACAAAATCTCTCACTCGTGAGAGATCTTTTCAACACTCGAAGGTAAATTTCGTATCTCCGCGCGACCATGTAATACCCTCTATTTACATTGAGTTATGAATGACAGATTGCTTTTATGCAATTTACAAGCATGAGAGATGGTTAGTATGAAGTGTAGACACTGAGAGTGGTCACTGCCAGGGTTTCTTTACGTCCTCAGTGGTTCTTTTACGTCTCTTCGATGTTGGTTAGTAATGATGAGTGTGGAGAGACAGGAAAGTCCAACTGAGCCAACCGGTTAGCGATTAACTAGCTAGATAACTAGATTTAAAGCTGATTCAAACCTTGCAATACTTTGTTCATGGATTGTAAATAATTTGAAATATAGTATACTATAGCACTTCTTTGCTTTTTTGTTTGTTAAAAATTAGGCTTCGTCCAGCAACAGAAGTAAAATAAAAATATTTATTTCCAAGTTTTTGATAATGAAATGAAATAATTTCAAATGAAGTCAAACACTAACTGAAAATACTATAGTGCAAACCATATATCCGTGAAAAAGTTTAGTAGGTCTAAAGTCTACGGTCTACCGAGGTCTACCGAACGTACTAGTTTATGCAAATATGTGCAATTTTTTACGAACTCCTCTAATTATTTGACCGATGCCTTTTAATCCCGTGAACCCACAGGTAGCCCAAGCTTGGTTTCTGTGGTGTCCTGTTATAAAGAAATGTATGGAGATTCATCACAAATTTCAATAAAATCATTGAAACGTGAAATAAAGCCTCGAAATTTCACCCGATCATTGAGAAGTAGCATTTCTTTGGCTCTGCGTGGTTATTTTTTGAATTTAGCCAGTTTTAAGATGTTTTCCCCACCAGTAAGAAATAAGAGAAGGTTGGAAACTCGAGGCCCTCTTCTCTTATTTCTTACTGGTGGGGGAAAAAATCTTAAAACGGGCTAAATTCAAAAAATAACCACGCAGAGCCAAAGAAGTGCTATTTCTCAATGATCGGGTAAAATTTCGAGGCCTTATTTCACGTTTCAATGATTTTATTGAAATTTGTGATGAATCTCCATACATTTCCTTATAACAGAACACCACAGAAACCAAGCTTGGGCTACCTGTGGTGAACCAGAACAAACAAAGCTTTTCTCAGAATTTTTTTCCAGAGTTTCCAAGAATTAGCTCGCATCACAGCTGGTGATGAACAAGGGGGTCTATATAGACTTATGCTTTATACTAGTTCAAACTTAAAATCAACGATGGGCCTTTCTGCTCCTTTTGCTGTTCTTTTTGCTTTGCTTCCAACATTGGCTATTGCAGACCTCTGTGAGTGTTTTTTTCTATTACATTTTAATCTAACGGGTTATATTACTACCTCAGAAAAAACTCTTTGCATCTTATGATAGAGATTAGTAATCCAGAACTTTTTCAAGCCTGTTATTCATTTATTCGGTTTTCATTAGTCTTTATATTCACTGAAGTCATAAACTTGCATTTTGTTCATCAAAATTTCTGCATAACAGTATAACTAGTGTCTCAATTGATTGTCTGGACAGTGTGGACACTCGAATCGTTAACACTTCGATACTTTTTTTCTACTTTTTCAACCCCCCAGTAATGGAGCATTGATTTGTAATGCAGCGAGTGATCAAAAAAAATTCAAAGATTTTAAAGTATGTATTGGACAAAAGTTGTTGCAAAAGACCTCCAAGTGTTTTAGCTCGATTCATTGTCCTCTCTGTAAAGAATGAAATAATTTTGAATATTAAATGAATGCAGAACAAACTAAGAGTCATTTTTCCAAAAATCAGACTCAAAAGTTGTCTTTTTTGAAAGCGTTTCCAAGTATTTCTTCAGACCAAAACGAATAATGAATATAGGGGAAATAACGATAAACGTAACAGTGTATTACTTAACGACTAATTCAGAGCGAATTTTGGACAATTTTAAAGAAAAAAGCCAAAAACTAAAAGTAGTACTGTTTGATATTCGGCCATAATAGGCTCAACACTTAAAAATTCTTAGGATAAAATACACTGTTAGAATCTAGGATAATCAACTTGACAACATATGAAAAATTCAGTTAGTTTGACGACCTAGTTTTGCGAAGCGAGCGAGAATAAATCTGTCCAAAATTCGCTTTGCTAAAAAATTTTGTTTAGAACTATATATGGTCAGTGTTTTTCAAGACATTTAGGCCACGTCTACACTAAAACCATAAAAAAACGCAGATATGATCGGAAATGTCGTACTATGATGGATGCATCAGCGCATGCGAAAGACAGAAATACAAGTGCATGTGAATGACGTCAGCGTTTTCAAAAGCCTCCTTGTCCACACCACTAGGCCTCTCCGTTTTCAAATGTCTCCACTCTGTAGAGCGTTTTCAAATGTATGCATTTTTCGATCGTTGTAGTATGAACGCAAGGCCAAACCGCATCGAAAGTATGCGTTTTGAAAACGCATCACTATGGACGTAGCCTAGATTCAACTTATGGATAGATCGTATTTTTGAATCTGAAGATTGCGTCAGTCACCAAAACATTCTTTATTTTCCTTAAATTTATTAGAAAACTAATATCTTTTATTTATTTACTTATTTATTTTATTTTATTTTTTTCTATTATTGTTAAGTTACATTTACTTATAAATAGGGAGAAATTTTACGGCACTGAATTTAAAAATCAATTATAAATGCCATGTTTTTCGCAGCGCTGTACAACAACAACTGCCCAGATTTTGCTCGAGCCTTGGGCAAAGGTTGCTCCATCAACGATGACTGTACAGAGATAAAATGCCAAGAGAATAGTTTGGGCGACAAAGAGCTATCATTGACTATGAAGATTAATAAATGCGAAGAGCCAGTCACTGTTGACATTACCATCATGGATTTTCTTGGCGAAAGACTTTCCAGTCAAGCCAAAAGGTTGCGGTACCAGGTTTGTCTATCAAGCCTCTTGGCTCGCTTATCTCTGCTGGGGTCTACCTTCAAGTTGATGTGGAAGACACTGGGTCAAACTTGCAGCTCAAGGTGCTTAACATTTATGATAATCAAATGCTCCTGTTCTATACTACTTCTACTGCTGCTGCCGCTGCTGCTGCTGCTGCTGCTGCTGCTGCTACGTCAACTTCTCATACTCACGCTCACGCTCACGCTCACGCTCCCACTCACACTCACACTCATACTCATTTGGTTGCATTTCAGATCATAATCCTAACTGGAATCGAATTTTTGGGAAACTTCCAGAAGTTTACCACCGACACCATTGCTAACAGTGACTTGCCCATAGGAACCTCTGAGTGTGGTGAGTAGTATTGACGTATCTATGAGTGTGGTGAGTAGTATTGACGTATCTATGAGTGTTGTGAGTAGTATTGACGTATCTATGAGTGTGGTGAGTAGTATTGAC